CATCGTCAATCAACGATTAACGCCGCGCTTTGTCTTATTCCACAGCTTCAAATGACAACCTTAGGATAATTAAACAAAATAAAATGCTTGGAATGACGATGCCTTCTTGAGGCAGGTGTACGACAAAGGGGTGTACGGTGTTGATATTATTGTTGTAGTTGTTACAGAGAACGGAACAATTTAAATACAAACCCTTTCTCATTCGGTCACCCAATGGCCACCTGCAAACCAATCTGGCCGATCGTCTCAAGAGAACGGGACCTCAAAGCCGGCGGGCCCCTACTCAGAACCTCATCCCTCGACTCCCTGACCATCTCCCCCTGAACCAAGCCTGGCACAGCGCCGTGTCTCCGTGGGGCTACTCCGATCGTTGTGGAATCACAACAAAAGTCCCCCGTGTTGCCTTTACCAGACTGCTGGGGCAAGCGCCGTTAGCGAGCGCCGACGAAGGCCGGCAACGTCACACGACGTGGGGGCGGGTGGCCGGCACCACGACCGGCCGCCTTTATCTCTCTAGTGGCGATGTTTACACACCCCGCACCAGCTACTCAACCGAGGCCGAGTCGACCTAGGGGTGGGCCCAGGACCGGTTCAGATAATCGTCACTGGTGTCGGCCGTGAGCGGAAATCGAAACCGGGTCGCCAGGTTCGTAGCGCAGCGCGCTAACCGCTACACCACCGCTCCCCACAACATACACAGCAGCAGTAGCAGCATCAAATCCACCACCACTTCTAAGAGGCGGTTGTGAAATCCGGGGTCGTCCGTTTTCATGGGCGCATGAGGAGGAACCCCGGCTCCGCTGAGCCTCCCGAATCACCACTGGGAATTGTCTTCTCGCCTTTCGTGGAAATGTGCGCGTTTAAAATGGTTCCATTATTAAATAATAATAATTATTATTAAGGCAATTGCTTAAGGGTAATCCCCGAGGTCTTTATTTGACACTGATATACGAAATAATTACTTTCAAACTGAGGAGAATATGCAGATTGGAAATGATTGTTAAAACAGCGTCAAAAGCAAATCGAATCCTGGCAGAAACCCCAAAATGTGTTTAACGCGTAGGCTTTCGCGACCAATATCATCCATAATACAGGTTTTTTGGGTTCGATCGCGTAAATATTTAAGGTGAAATAATATTTACGCGATCCAACCCAAAAAATCCAAAGCGTGTTGTCGTCCAAGCAGCCGTGCGTCTGTGGAACGCGTTGCAGCGCACTTCTTACGCCGTGCATGCGCCATTCGGCGGCTCGGATCCTCTTGCAGACGAGATGGTTCCATCTTCTTTGGTTCTTTCGGTAAAGTCACGTAGAATGAGAATAAAATAATAAAATAGTAAAATAACAATAACACAATAAAATTCTCACGGCGTTTCGGCCACAACACAAGTGGCCTTCTTCAGGTGAAAGGAACAAACCTGTCGGGACGACAGAGCTTCAATGAACGTTGTTAAGATTCGTAGCGACTTTTCTCCAAACCAGCTTAAAAGACACTACGAATCTTAACAACATTCATTGAAGCTCTGTCGTCCCGACGGGTCTGTTCCTTTCACCTGAAGAAGGCCACTTGTGTTGTGGCCGAAACGTCGTGAGAATTTTATTGTGTTATTTTATTTTATAATTTTATTCTCATTGTACGTGACTTTACCGAAAGAACCAACGAAGATGAATCCTTGCAGTCACGAAAGCTTTAAATCTAGATGGTTCCACATTACGGGATGTCTCCAAGGTGATTTTTTAAGTATATACATATACACACACATTATTTATACAATTTCACAAGTACAACAAATGACGATTTCACCTCGCGACCAGCACGGTTAGCACCGGTTGGTTACGGACGGTGCGAAAGAACTTCTACGTACGTGACTTTACCGAAAAAACCAATGAGTAATTTTATGCAGTCACGAAAGCTTTAATGCTTTATTGGTGCGAAATAAGTTTAACGTACATACATATATAGTGTCAATGGGCTGCCGGATACGGCTGGCTGGGCTCAGATGCGAGGCGAAAAGTGATTTAGTTCAAGACGTGACCACAGTTTTTCGGCACAAATGACCGGAGTCATCTCGCGAGGAACGATTCCAATATGCCACACTTGCTTTGGCCTAGGTAACGTTATATTCCCATAAAAGCTTTTTTGGTGGTTTATTTTCTGTAAGCCACCTCAAGCCTACATTGCCCAATTCCTCACCTCTGTGCCATGATGTCACCACATTACCACTCAAAGCTGGACAAACAATGGCATAACCACTACCTTCCGGTGGCGAGATGTTAACTACCTCGCCAGGTATACAGGAGGGTCATGGGTTCAATCCCGACCCCTGACGTCTGCTGTATATCTGGAGTTTGCGCGTCTCTCTCCACGTGGTCGCGTGAATTTTTCCCTGGCTCCTCCGGTTTTTCCCTCCACATTTAGAATCAACGTCGCGCTTTTAGAGTATTTGGCTGCTATAAATTTCCACGCGACAAGCCACTTTGTTGAGCTACAATTTGTGGCCAGGTCGCTTCTAAAAAATATCTACATAGCTCAGTGTGGGCCTTACCTGGTAAAATAAAATGAAAATAATTAAAACGGTTTGTCACTATCGGAGAGAAGCATCACACACATTGCATTAAATTCCCTTAACACCACGACTCGATATTACAACAACAGCTGCAAGTTTAATAATATCGCCACCCCGATAATTGTGAATGCACCTCGTGATAGGCGGGGTAAGGATGACAACAACTAAATCACTAAACGAGATTGACATTCGCAAAACGATAGATTTTTTTTGCAACGTACAATCAATAATGTATATCAATAAGGTGTGGAAACGGCTGATATTAAATGACAAAAAACACAGCAGGATTTCAAATTCTTATTTGGCCAATGGCCAGCTATTCCGTGGGGATTCAATCGGCAATTGGAACAATAAAATACAAATCTCTGTTCACTAAAACAATATTCGCATTAGGGTACATTGGGCCCAGCGAGTAGTCCTGTTTTAGGTGTAGAATATATATTTTTAAACGAGTGTCATGCAGAAGAGCGGGCATAACACTGACGAGATCAGCGGTGCAAATATAAACGTTTAAAAAGTCTTCAGGAAAGAACGAACACACACACAGCCATCAGTCACAAGCGTGACAGGACCTGCATGGTACCAACAGTGCATTAAATCCATAATACAGATTTTGTTTAAAAAAAAAATCTATCCCTCTATTAAAGGTATGAAACAGGAGGAGGATTTCTCCACAAATCTGGTTGCCGCCTGATGAAGCCGGTTGTAATTACTGGCGAAACGTCGTGCTCAAATTGCAAATGTTGTGGATTTGCTTTCCAACACACCGGTGTGCTGGTGACGAATTGGTCACGTTCTGTTTACGTGACAAACCTCACTAGTTGGCCGAGTCAGGTGGTGGGGGGTTTAACGACACAGTTATATATTTACGTGATCTAACCCCCAAAAAACCCGATATTATGGATGATATTGGCCGTGAAAGCTTCCTACAGTGCAAGAGATCCAGGCGGAATTTAACACACTCCCTACATACAAAATAAATGGCATTTTTTTACGACACAAGGTACAAACAAAGGCTTTGTACTCCACATGCAGACCGCATATTAAAGCTGCAGTTTCCTCCAGCGTTAACACCCCACCAAAGACGAAAGGTACCCCCCCCGTTGCCTACAACCACACCCGGCCGCCTTTGTCTCCCTAGTGGCGATGTTTACTACACACCGCACCAGGTACCCATTTGAGGCCGAGTCGACCTAGGGGAGGCCCGGGATCGGTTGAAATATCCGTCAATGTTATTGGTCGTGAGCGGGAATCGAATTCGGGTCTGTGCCGGGAACGTAGCGCAGCGCGCTAACCGCTACACCACCGCTCCTCACCACACGAACACACAAAGACCCCCCCCCCCCCGTGTAGCCTGTAACAGACTGTGGGGGCAAGTGCTGCTGTTAGCGAGTAGCAGCAGCACCTGTGAAGGCCGCCACTGCACACGAGGGGGTGGGTGGCCCAGCACCACGCCCGGCCGCCTTTGTCTCCCCAGTGGCGATGTTTACTACACATCGCACCAGGTGACTCATTCGAGGCTGAGTCGGCCTAGGGGAGGCGCAGGACCGGTTCAGATAATCGTCACTGGTGTTGAGTGGGAATCGAACCCGGGTCGCCAGGTTCGTAGCGCAGCGCGCTAACCACTACATTACCGCTCACCACACACACACACACGTGTACACACACACTAACATGTACACACTAACACGTACATAGTAACACACGTGCACACGTACACACTAACACGTACACACTAACACGTACACACTAACACGTACACACTAACACGTACACACTAACACGTACATAGGAACACACACGTACACACGTACAGGTGCACAGGAACACACAGAGGTACACACGAACACACACACCCATCACAGACACACACACGTACACACACACACGTACAAACACACCCATCACAGAGACACACACACGTACACACACACGTACACACACACCCATCACAGACATACACACCCATCACAGACAAACGTACACGCACACACACACACGTACACACACCCCCATCACACACACACGTACACGCGCACACACACACCCATCACAAACACACACACACGTACACACACACCCATCACAGACACACAGACACACCATCACACACACACGTACACGCGCACACACACACCCATCACAAACACACACGTACACACACACCCATCACAGACACACACACCCATCACACACACACGTACACACACACACACCCATCACACACACACGCACACACACACCCATCACAGACACACGTACACACACACACACCCATCACAGACACACACACACGTACACACACACACGTACACACACACACGTACACACACGTACACACACACACGTACACACACACAGCCGGCGATCCGCTGGCAGAGGCAGGAGAGAAAGGCAGCGAGCACGGCTCTGGGGATCCCCTCGCCCGCTCCTCACCTTGGCATTGGCCTTGTCATTCTCGGCGTGCAGGACGTTGTACTCCTGGGCAGCTGTGGGCACACACACGGCGGACATGATGCCGTTCATCTTTCAGGCAGCAGCAGCAGCACAGCAGTAGTAGAAACAGCAGCAGCACCACAGCAGCACCACAGCAGTAGTAGTAGAAGCAGCACAGCAGTAGTAGAAGCAGCACCACAGCAGCAGCAGCACAGCAGCAGCACCACAGCAGCAGCAGCACAGCAGCAGCACCACAGCAGCAGTAGAAGCACAGCAGCACAGCAGCAGTAGTAGAAGCAGCAGCAGCAGCAGCACCACAGCAGCAGCACCACAGCAGTAGCAGTAGTAGAAGCAGCAGCACCACAGCAGCAGTAGAAGCACAGCAGCAGCAGCACAGCAGCAGTAGCACCACAGCAGCACCACAGCAGCAGCACAGTAGCAGTAGTAGAAGCAGTAGTAGCACAGCAGCAGTAGAAGCAGCAGCACCGCCGCCTTCCGCGGACTGGGGCTTGACGATGTTGCGGGGTGCCTTCAGCACGAGCCGGGCACACGCGGGGGGCGGGGCCTGGTGGGGCGGGGCCTGGTGGGGCAGTGTGAGATTTGGGGGGGGGGAGCGTGGGGGGGGGGGGAGCGTGGTGGGGGGGGGGCGTGGTGGGGGGGGGGAGCGTGGTGGGGGGGGGAGGGGCGCGTGGTGATGGGGGGGAGCGGGGTGGGGGGGGGGGGTGGCGTGGTGGTGGGGGGGGTTGCGTGGTGGTGGGGGGGGGTTGCGTGGTGGTGGGGGAGCGTGGTGGTGGGGGGGGGTGGCGTGGTGGTGGGGGGGTGGCGTGGTGGTGGGGGGGTGGCGTGGTGGTGGGGGGGTGGCGTGGTGGTGGGGGGGTTGCGTGGTGGTGGGGGGGTGGCGTGGTGGTGGGGGGGTGCACGCTCTTCCAGACGGGCTCCTCTTCCTCCCACCACCACCACAAATTTAAGAGACCCCCCCCTCCCACCGGCACCCCAGGGAGGGTTTTAACCTAAAGATAAATGAAATGTACACACAGAAGACAAAGATCCCCCGTGTAGCCTCTAACAGACTGTGAGGGCAAGTTCTGTTCAGCTAAAAGCAGCAGCAGCAGCTATTAAGGCCCTGCACGGCACGCGAAAGGGTTGGTCCGTGACCAACACCACGCCCGGCCGCCTTTGTCTCCCCAGTGCTATTGTTTATGGCACACAGCGCCAGGTACTCGTCTAAGGGGCTGTTTCGTGTGTGTGTGTGACGCAACGTGCAGCTCCCAACGCACACAAAGACCCCGAGCAGTGGCTCGAGAGCGACGCATGGCCACGTTACAATGCACGGCGGAGGGGTTTGGTGCGGGCGGGGAGAGCGGCGGACTTGAGGGGAGGCGGTGTGGACAGAGTTCGGCGTGAAAGGGAGGAGAGAGGGCAGTGGTGGCGGAGAGAACACTAGAAATTGGAAGCCAGAGGGGAAGGAAGGGCCAGGGAGAGGAGAGGGAATAATGAGGGGAGAGAATGCGCGTGGTGGGGGGGGGGGGGATCGGACGGGGGCTGTGGCGGTGTGGGCAGGGAGTGGTGTGCATGCTATCAATTATAATTAATAATTAAATGCATTTCGTAGGAGTGCCATCATTCTTATAGTGCAGGGCCATCGTGAAGGAAGGCGCTGTTTGATACGCTTCACAGCTTCATAGCAGGTGGGGGCGGTGTCGCTGCTGCGTGGTCTAGCCTAGGGCGTCCCCAGTGGCAGCTGTCTCTGTGCATCCGTCTGCCAGGGTGATGTTGTGGCGTTTCATCGAGATTTGAGTAATTCGCCGTGTCATTTCTCCAATGCGCTGCTTTTGGACCGGGAACGATGTCACGGTATCTTTAACGTCCACTCCGAAGCAGATGGAGAAATATATTTTTCATACACCCGCAATATTAATCAGGACGGCCTGTCGGATTTCAACCGCGAATGTCTCACGAACCCACAAACCACGGCATAGCCCGCGGCTCCAGTGATGCTACTGCCCAAGCTCAGTAACCTGATTACTCTACCTCTCAGACCTGACAAGCTCCCAATTAAGTGACACGATGATGCGATAGATGAGAGGAATCGTCTCGAATGGGTTGTTTATTCGGGACCGCATCAGAACATCAACAACCACAACAGACACCATTAGCCGCTAAGTGGAGGTGACATCACCACGGCACTTGTGCCAGGCCAGCTGCACTTTGAGGCCAAGTGAAGTGTCGAAGGCTCGCTGACAGGTCACAGGAAAGACTCAGGTGCCATGGGTTGATTGACTGAGATGACAGGCCGATGCATCAGCTGTGCCCTCTACTATGCCAATTTGCTGTATTTTATCTGCCCGGCACTCCACTAGTTGTTGTTCGTGTCGCTTTGCCCTCTTGTTGTTGGGAGGCCGACTGCCTCCAACTGCCTAATAATGCCCCTCACGAGCCTCCCCCATAGCGGTATCAGTCATGGGCAAGTCCACACAGCTCCACATCCTCCTGAACCGCATCAGTCACTCTCTTTTCCAGCCAGCGTCGCGCCCGTTTAGCTCCCTCTATTCGGCAAAACAGAAGCTGCTCGGGCATGCGGTGGCTGACCATGTGGGCTACATGACCCAGCTGGGTCATCTAGAATATCAACAAGCCGATGCACGCATCCCCTAAATAAATGGAAATTTTGGTCATGCATTATGGCCATGCAACCCAAATTATGGACCTCAGGAAAGCCATAGAGACACACCGAGACACGTCAGGCATACATAGTCATAGAAATACATAGACCCACAGAGATGCATACAAGACAAGTCACAGTGTGATTGTGGCCATGCACCCAAAAAAACGTATGGACCATACAGTCAATCACCGCAGGACACGATTCCTGACATGCAATATCCCGGCATCTACAAACTAAGCTGTATCTGCGGCAGCAGTTACATTGGGGAAACTAAACCACACGTCTCGGACCATGTTCGTGAGCATAAGGCAGATTTGAAAGACGGTGGGACCAATACTTTTGCCGTGGCTGATCATTATTTTAATGCGGCTGGCTCACACGAAATTGATTTCTCTAAGACGATGGTACATTGCAAGCCTACTGGCTATCAGCAAAGATTTGTTCATGAAGCCATCCATATATACAGACACAGAGACAATTTTAACCAAGAGGATGGTTATAGACTCAGCAATCATTGGAAAGATGTCATGAACCACATTGGGTCATGACTTGACTTGTGTTTTCTTGTCAATCAACCTCAACCGTCAGCATTGTGGTGCGTGGAGCAGGGTGCAGGGATTTCTTGGCGGCCTTTTGCTGATTTGGCATTGCTGCTGCATTGGCATTGTTGCTGCAGTGGCATTGTTGCTGCATTGGCATTATTGCTGCATTGGCATTATTGCTGCATTGGCATTGCTGCTGCATTGGCATTGCTGCTGCATTGGCATTATTGCTGCACCGCCCATGCTACTGGTGCTGCTGATACACTTGGGCTACACCCATCCCCAAACCTTTATAAACAGTTTACCTTTAGAGGCTAACTCCTTTGCCTGATGACGACCACTTGTGTTGCGATCGAAACGTCGTGAAATTTTTATTCACTTTATTTTCATAATTATTGTTGCTATCTACATGACTTTACCGAAAGAACCAAAGAATACACAAACTCTCTCACCTGAAGCCCTCTCGTCGTGGCTAGCAGACCTCAACATTGGGCACTTAGTTCCGGTCCCATAATAGAATACGCAATAATAGAAGAGGCACGATAAATGTAACACACACTTGCACACGAAGTTCGTACAATACTTTACGCATAGAAAGTCAAAATGGGCGGCTCTGCAATGACTTTTGCTGATCCCACTCCAGAACTGCAGGCAGGGCCTCCTCGAGAGTGAGCTCGAGAGAGTCCCTCGAACTAGCACAGGGCACTCTTTGACATACACGATAAATGCGTTCTTGGAAAAGCGTGGATATCTCAAAATCGCGTATGTCCCAAGCAATTATCACATAAGAAATAACGGTAACGGAGGGGGTGAGGGGATTTCACTCACACTCGCAGACATAATCGCCAATATTATCCGAGCCTACATGAATACAATACATGTACAGACAATATAACGCTTCAAATTAAAGAGAAATCACGTAAGCTCTAATGTACTTCCTATAAAATAAAGAAATACAGTTTTATTTCTAGATTTGAAGCTTTCGTGACTGCAAGGATTCATACTCTTCGGTTCTATTCGGTAAAGTCACATAGGTAAAACAAATTAAAATAAATAGAAATTAAATTAAAGAAACAATTAAAACACGACGTTTCGGAGGCAAAGCAAGCTTCCGTCTTCCTTGGTGCAGCGATTTTGCTGTGACTGGTCCCACCTGAAGACGGAAGCTTGCTTTGCCTCCGAAACGTCGTGTTTTAATTGTTTCTTTCATTTTATTTCAATTTATTTTAATTTGTTTTACCGACGTGACTTTACCGAATAGCACCGAAGAGTATAAATACAGTTTTACTTTTTTTTTTCGATTTAAAGCTTTCGTGACTGCAGGGATTCATCTTCTGGGTTCTTTATGTTTTAGTTTTATTATTTTGTTTCCATTCTACGTGACTTTACCGAAAGAACCAAGAAGAGTATTAATTTCTTGTTACTACGCCGGAGTTTGTGTTGCGGAGATTCTGGATGGAGACGAGGAAGGAGACGGAGGAGACAGAGGGAAGATTGCCGGTGTCCACGCGCGGCGAGATGCTGGACGTGTAGCGCACTCATGTCATCCTAACGCACCGGCTGGTGGCAACGTTGCCATTGGGTCTCGGTGCCAGGCTAGGGGGATGGCATGTCGCATTGCGGGGTGACGTTATTCCGAAAATGGCCTCGCGTATCTCAATAAAAAGGTCTGCATACAAAGCGCGCGTTATTCAAAAATGGCGTGCCACGAAAGAGCGTAAACCGAGGACTGCCCGTGTTTATTTGTAGGTACGCAAATGCCGTTATCTACACCGGTTGCAGTTATTAGGGAAAATAAAGTAGACATAAGCAGATTATCGCCGTACAACCTGCAGCAGGGATACCG